ATACCTTTGCAGAACGTGCAGGTTTGTTACATGGTATACATGTACCATGGTGGTTTGCTGTACCTATCAACCTGTCATCTAGGTTTTAAGCCCCACATGCGTTAGGTATTTGTCCTAGTGCTCTCTTCCCCTTGGCCCCCACCCCCTGACAGGCCCTGGTGTGTGATGTTCCCCTCCCTGTGTCCACGTGTTCTCATTGTTCAACTCCCTCTTATGAGTGAGAACATGCGGTGTTTGGTTTTCTGTTCTTGTGTTAGTTTGCTGACAATAATGGCTTCTAGCTTCATCCATGTCCCTGCAAAGGACGTGAACTCATTATTTTGGCTGGATAGTATTCCATGGTGTATATGTGCCACACTTTCTTTTCTTTTTCTTTTTCTTTTTATATTTTATTGCATTTTAGGTTTGGGGGTACATGTGAAGAACATGCAGGATTGTTGCATGGGTACATACATGGCAATGTGGTTTGCTGCCTTCCCCCCTGTCACCTATATCTGGCATTTCTCCCCATGTTATTCCTCCCCAACTCCCTACCCCCCACTGTCCCTCTCCTAGTACACCCCCACAGACCTCAGTGTGTGATGCTACCCTCCCTATGTCCATGTGTTCTCATTGTTCAACACCCACCTATGAGTAAGAACATGCGGTGTTTGGTTTTCTGTTCTTGTGTCAGTTTGCTGAGAATGATGGTTTCCAGGTTTATCCATGTCCCTACAAAGGACACAAACTCATCGTTTTTTTTTGGCTGCATAGTATTCCATGGTGTATATGTGCCACATTTTCCCTGTCCAGTCTATCACCGATGGACATTTGGGTTGATTCCAAGTCTTTGCTATTGTAAACAGTGCTGCAATGAACATTCGTGTGCATGTGTCCTTATAATGGAACAATTTATAATCCTTTGGATATATACCAGTAATGGGATTGCTGGGTCAAATGGAATTTCTATTTCTAGGTCCTTGAGAAATCACCATACTGACATCCACAATGGTTGAACTAATTTACATTCCCACCAACAGTGTAAAAGTGTTCCTATTTCTCCACATCCTCTCCAGCATCTGTTGTCTCCAGATTTTTTTAATGATCACCATTCTAACTGGCATAAGATGGTATCTCAATGTAGTTTTGATTTGCATTTCTCTAATGACCAGTGATGATGAGCATTTTTTCATGTTTGTTGGCCTCATATGTCTTCTTTTGAAAAGTGTCTGTTCATAACCTTTGCCCACTTTTGTTTGTTTTTTCTTGTAAATCTGTTTTAGTTCTTTGTAGATTCTGGATATCAGCCCTTTTTCAGATGGGTAGATTGCAAAAATTTTTTCCCATTCTGTTGGTTGCCGGTTCACTCTAATGATTGTTTCTTTTGCTGTGCAGAAGCTGTGGAGTTTGATTAGATCCCATTTGTCTATTTTGGCTTTTGTTGACAATGCTTTTGGTGTTTTAGTCATGAAGTCCTTGCCTATGCCTATGTCCTGAATGGTTTTGCCTAGGTTTTCTTCTAGGGTTTTTATGGTTTTAGGTCTTATGTTTAAGTCTTGAATCCATCTGGAGTTAATTTTAGTGTAAGGTGTCAGGAAAGAGTCCAGTTTCTGCTTTCTGCACATGGCTAACCAGTTTTCCCAACACAACACCATTTATTAAACAGGGAATCCTTTCCCCATTGTTTGTTTTTGTGCCACATTTTCTTTAGCCAGTCTATCACTGATGGGCATTTGGGTTGATTCCAAGTCTTTGCTATTGTAAATAGTGCTGCAATAAACATAGGTGTACATGTATTTTTATAGTAGAATGATTTATAATCCTTTGGGTATATACCCAGTAATGACATTGCTGGATCAAATGGTATTTCTGAGTTTAGATCCTTGAAGAATCGCCACACTGTTTTCCACAATGGTTGAACTAATTTACACTCTTACCAACAGTGTAAAAGCATTCCTATTGCTCCACATCCTCTCCAGCATCTGTTGTTTCCTGACATTTTAATGATCGCCATTCTAACTGGCATAAGATGGTATCTTATTGTGGTTTTGATTTGTATTTCTCTAAAGATCAGTGATGATGAGCTTTTTTTTCATATGTTCGTTGGCTGCAAAAATGTCTTCTTTTGAGAAGTGTCTCTTCATATCCTAGGAAGGACTCGTTTAGGAGGTGACATGAAGCCAGTGCCTAAAGTACGAGTTGATACTGGCCTTGGAAGGTCTATGGAAGGATGTTCCTGGTGGTGGGCACATGCTGGCTGCACGTGCTGTTGCTGTTGTTGCTGTCGAAAGGAACAGGCACATATTCAGACTCCATGAGGGAAAATGGTGTGTGGGAGGGACTTTAATGTGTTTATAGGCTATGATGTTTTATTTATCCATGTACGTCCAGAATCAACGATGCTTGATTATAGTTGTTTTATAAATGCCTACTGAATAAACGAACTGATGACACCAGAGAAGAAGTTGAAAGGAAAGGTGATGATTGGTAAGAGTTTTCCAGAGGAAGCGGGGAGAAAGGGAATCTATAGTACACAGAAAAGGAGGTACCTCTAGGGTGGGAGGGGAGGAGTGGAGAATGGATATATTTTTCTGGTGCAGAGACAGGAAGTAGAATTTCCTTCTGATAGCTACTGTGTTCTTTTTTGGGGGAGAAGAGTTTGCTGAAAGTAAGCCAAGTGGGAGTGGGATCAGGGTTCTAAAAAGGAGGGAAGGGTTACTTTGCATAATCAGAGAAGTGAGCTGGCTGGGGACATTTGTTTGAATTGAGGTGGTGCTGAGTGCCCAGCTAGTGCTGTAGGCTGGACATCAATGGTGGTGCCAACGGACGTGATTTTGGAATGATGTCTAACTCTAGCAGATAGCTACATCTTGGGTGGGGAATTTGCACGTGAGTATGACAACGGGAGGACTAAGAAATGAACAAACTGAAGTGGGAGGAGAAACAGATTGAAATTGATATTAAAGACTAGACTAAGACATAAAGGAAGTATTGTCAAGAAGGAGTTGAGGCCAGGTGCAGTGGCTCTTGCCTGTAATCCCAGCTCTTTGGGAGGCCAAGGCAAGTGGATCACTTGAGGTCAGCAGTTGGAGACCAGCCTGGCCAACATAGTGAAACCCCATCTCTACTAAAAATACAAAAATTAGCTGAGTGTAGTGATGGATACCTGTAATCTCAGCTACTCAGGAGGCCGAGACAGGAGAATTGCTTGAACCCGGGAGGTGGAGACTGCAGTGAGTGGAGATTGTGCCACTGCACTTCAGCCTGGGCAATAGAGTAAGACTCCTTCTTTAAAAAAAAAAAAATAAATAAAAAGCTAAATATAAGAAGAGGGAGGAACAAGGGATTAACTTCTAATGAGTCCAAAGCCAGAAGTATGATGAGAATAAGGGAGTGAGAGAACTGGAAGAAAGGAGTGAGTGCCTTGTTATTCCGTGGTAGGCACTGCACACATTAAAGTAAGGTATAATAGCTGTCTTTTCTTGAATATAACTCAATGTCTGCAGAAAGGCTAAAGGTTTTATCTACATAATTTCATTTAATCCTCAGTATATATCACAACTCTAATTTTACTGATGAGAAAACTGAGGCTTGGTGAGGTTGAATGTATTGCTCACACTTTCGCAGCTAGGAAGAAGAAATTCCATCTATCTGATGAAGCAAATGGCCGGCCGTAAATACCAAGCTAAGCAATGCCGATCTCTATCTTTTTGTTGTTGGAGAACAATGCATGACTCCTGTATCCTTTTCTTGTGAGCTGATAACCAGAGCTAGTTTTATTAACTCATTCAGCACTGTAAGATGAAGTCCACATCCCCTAGAGTGACACAGGAGGCTGATCAGAGTCCATCCCACACCCTCTTCTCTACATTCATCCTCCCACAGCCTCTGCTCCTGCTTGCCCCGACTATTTTCAAGTTCGCTAAATGCACTATGGCAGCTTTGTACTTGGTGTTGTGTGGATCAGTGATGCCCTGTCTCCTCTTCTCCTCCTGGCTGGCTCCTCCAAGTCCTTCAAAACTGAGAGTGAGTATTACCCCCTTTCCCTTTTCTGAGCTGAAAACAGTAAACGTACTATCGCCTTTCACACCGGGCAGGTCTAGGTCTAGGGCCTCTGTGCAGACCTCCACCATAACTCTTCATCCCCCCGCTCCCCCGCCCCCGTCACATCAAAAGTCTGTGATGCTGACTGCTTGTCCAGTGCTCATTTCACAAGCTCACAGCTCCTTCCCTTTTGTTTAGTATTTTTCTATCTGGAAGGACCCAGAAATAAGATAGAAAGAGGTTAGTGATGGATGTTGGTAGCAGCCCCAGGAATGCCTGGCTTTTACCTCTAAGTGGCTAGTCTGGTTACCACAGCACCCTTTTAGCAGCAGACTATTTTTTTTAAAATGTAGCCAACAAATTCAAGATATCTGTGGATATCAAGGAACAAAACATCTATTATCTAGTAAAACAATTTTTGACACTCACTTTTGTAATTCAAAAATTTAAATAACCACAGCTACTATTGCTTTATATTAATTGCGTTCTCATTTGTAGTGTGGGTCACTCAGCAGGGGTGGTGGGTGGTTTCGTGGATATGGATTGGATGCCAATTAAGAAGACTTTGGGTTTCAGTTTTTCTGTTTGGGTGACTGGGGAAATATATGTCTGAGCTTCTAATTCTTTATGTGTGCACTGGCAGTAGTAGGAGAGCCTCCCCGGCATTGTTTGAGAGGCCAAATAACAGCATGATTGTGAAAAGCCCTTTGTAAACTGTAGCATGTTTTAGGAAAAAAAAAATGGTGGTGATATTTTCCAGAGTGTTACAGAAACTTATACAACACGGGCCTGCCCCTGTTTGACCTGGAAATGCTAGTTCAGGGAATGCATTAGCAACACAGCAGGAAACTTCGGCAGAGAAATCCTTTTGAAAGCAGAGACTGCATCCTCCAGAATGAACGAGAAATGGCGAACCAAACCTCACAGATTGTCCTTGAAAGATGGAAAATTAACTAGGTACTGTCGGGGGTGGGAACGCGGATGGCGGCGCTGGACGCCCCGTCTTCAGCCTCCCGACGCTTTCCTCCCCCAAAGCCATTTTAGTCAAAGGTCATGTGTGTGTCTTGTCAAAGGCCAGCTTCCAATGGAATCATTGTCCCCCGGGACAGCGGCCCCCTGACTACATCTGCATTGGAGAAATCCCAAAAGCAAACGGCCCAGTGCAAACAAGAGCAGTCCGCAGCAGCCGCCCCGGGCCCAGTTCCCAGGTCGCGGGGCTGCAGCCGAGGCCGCGTTCGCAGAGCCCGGGCCGGAGCAGGCGCCGAGCCGCCCGCAACATGACCCGCCGCGCCGATCGGGTACGGTATACGCCCCTCTCTACCCGTCCTCCATTGCTTGGGCTGCCGGGTCACAGCTGCCATTCTGTCAAGCGGAGAAACCTTGCGAAGGGCCTCCAGATTTGCCGGAAAACGGTCCCTGTTGGGCTGCGTTCCCGTGCACTCAGCTGGAGCAATTTGCAGGCGCGCAAATGGGGAGTGTAACTCAGTTCGAGTTTTCGTTGCCAGAGAATGGGCTTGTAAATATCGAGTTTGTCTCTGGTTTCTGGAAAACAACTTGCAGAGAGGGACTGTGGAGGACTCTCAGTTCACCCCGGCTCCAGACTGTGCAAGCGGCGACCTTCAGCCGTACCAGCCGCGGGGCATGGCGAGCTCGGCCCTCCCGGGCTTCTAGTTGATTACCTGTGGGACAGGGGCTTGGCAAGAAGGACGGGGATTTTTAAAACAATATGTTTAGTAACGTCCTCTGGACTCCCACCTGCCTCCTGGAGACAGAATCATCTCCCTGACGGAGGGAGCCCCTTCCCCACCGCGTGCCTCTGTTCACAGAGATGTTGACTGACGTGCACAATTCAGCGCAGCCAGTCTCTCTGCCCTTTGTCCTCTTCTGTTTGAACAGGCCTTTCAAATGGATCTGGCTAATTTTGGATTAGGATAGAGGGAGCCTGGGGTCGCAACTGATTATGGGTGCTTTTGATCTGGACTTGGAAATCTCCAAGGGCAAACACTGAGGAGCGTCCGCTGGGGCAGCGGGCACAGCCGGCTTTCAGGTGCGGAGCGGGGGTCAAAGGGTTCCAGTGATTGCTTCCACACTCTGGTTTTAACAAGTGAAGCACAAGCCGCTTCTCTTGTTCATTTTAACAAGTGAAGCACAAGCCGCTTCTCACTGATACAGGGAATGGAAACAAAAGCTGTGTGCCCAGCAGGATAAAGAGGTGACCCGATGTTGCTTATGTATTTATCGCATACCCAGTTCCACAGAGCACAAGAGGTTTTCCACACTTCTGCTCGTCAGGTATTTAATGGAGCTTCCGCTTTCCCCTGCAGTGCTCACCTCTGGCTGTCACCTCAGTTTTCTGCTCCTCTTCCCACCAAACTCCTTGAAAGAGTGGGTGGCATTTGCTGTCTCCCTGTCCTCACTACCCATTTGCTCCTTTACACCCAATCACCTGGCGTCTGCCCTCACCGCTGAGGGCCAACCTTTCACAAGACCACTGAAGACCTCCTTGTAACAAAACCATAGAGAATTTTCAACTCCACCCCCCTCCCATGCACACATACAGTCTCTGTGTCATTTTTAACTATGGGTCCTTTCCTCTCTCTGTTTCTGACTGTCCCAGATGCTGCAATTCTATGCTTCCCTGTTTCTCTTCTGACTTGTTTTAGTTACTATTTAATACTTAAAGGGCTTCATTTCATAAATGTCAGTGTGCACCGACCTTTCTGACTGACTCTCTTCCTGCGTCATTGTTGTCATATCTCTCTGGATGATCTCATTCACTCCAGTGGCTTCAGCCACTGCATATACATGGCATTTCCCAAACCTAGTCTAATCATTCTCCTCAAATTCCAGTCTCCACTTTGATGTCCCACGGAGCATCTTAAAATCAGCAAGTTCGGACCTAGACCTGTCTTCTCCCTTCTTCTCCTAGGCCTGCTCTTACTCTCCTCTTTGCTACTACTTAAATGACATTTCCCAAGTTGTCCAAGTCGGACACAACGGAATCACCCTAAGTTACTTCTTCCCTTTCATTCGTGACAGTCATCATCAAGCACTGTCTACTCTCCTTGCTGAGCATAATTCATACACACCTGTGTCTCCACCTACCCTACCACTGTTGTAATTAAGGCCAGTACTCCCTCAAATTCCATTCTGGTCACAACTTTCCATTAGTCTCATTTGGGGCCAGTCCTGCCCAGCCCATATCTCCATCTTGTCTCCACACTATGTCAAATGACCTTTCTTTTCCTTTTTTATTTTTTTCTTTTTCTGAGATGGAGTCTTGCTCTGTTGCCCAGACTGGAGTGCAGTGGTGCTGTCTCGGCTCACTGCAACCTCCACCTGCCAGGTTCAAGCAATTCTTCTGCCTCAGCCTCCCAAGTAGCTGAGATTACAGGTGCCCGCCACCATGCCTGACTAATTTTTTATTTTATTTTTTTATTTTTAGTGGAGACACGGTTTCACCATGTTGGCCTGGCTGGTTTTGAACTCTTGACCTCAAGTGATCTGCTTGCCTCAGCCTCCCAAAATGCTGGGACCATGCCCAGCCTGTGTCAAATGATATTTCTAAAATGCAATACGATCATGCAGTTCTTTTTTGAAAAGTCTTCAGCAGATTCCCATTTTTTCCTTTCAAGAATAATTTTGGTGTATACAGGTTCTCCACAACTTGCCTTTTACCTTCATTTTCATTGTTATTTCTTACTGCTCAATCCCTCTCCACATTTTATGCACCATTTTTGTATATTTTATATACATTTTGTCCACATCATATATGAATTTAGGCATGTTAAACTATTTATTAAGTAAGACTTTCTTCCTGTACTTCTGCGATGTCTGGGTCTAACCTCTGTCTTTCTTTAGACCCAGTTGAAAGCCCGGTTCTCTTGGAAACTGCACATCATCCTCTAGAATGGGTTAGGCGGCCCCCTCTTATTTTCCCAGAGCTTCCTTTATTCCTGTGGATCAGAGCACTTACCATTCTTTATTACAACTATTTATTTGCCCACCCACACCAATCCTTAGGGATCAACTCTTTTTGTCTTAGTATCATTAGAGTTAGTGCTTAGACCCAGCTGGGATGCTCAATGAATTTTTGTGCAATTCTTGTGAATGACTATTATATGTAAGCATTGAGTTAGATGACAGATACACAGAAGCTTTCAGGAAATTATCATCTATAATATAATAATATGCTAAGGAATAAAGATTAAGCATGATTATCAGGAAAAACATAGTTTTCCACTTATTTAGCAATGGCAGGGTTTAGACTTTCTGGATATTTGAGAATAATGCCTCGAGTCCCTGGGTCTATCAACTCCCTCTGTAATTCACATCTCAACAGGTGGGCTTCTCCTATTGCTATTGCGTCTATCCTAATTTTCCCCAAGGAAGAGCTGCAAGAAAGGCCTTTTGCAGTTTTGCCTCTGTTGACTTTGTGAAGGTAAAGGAATCCTCTTTAGGCTGGAATCTGGCATGAGACAAGGGCACTAAAGGCCTAGATAGGTGGGCTTCTAAGAGTCCATTGATAAGCTTACCCCAGAGAAAGCATCCAGAACCTCAGCGTGGGCCAGTGGACAGGCCCTCTAAAAACTTTCGAAAGTGATGGAGAATTTGGGATGCTAGAGATAAGAAAATGCAGTTTGATTTCCTAAAGAGAGAGATATGTGTAATCTAAACCTTCAGACAGAGAGGTGAATGATGTTAAGTTTGATAGGGAGTTATTTAAACTTGAAGTTGTTCTCAAACTATTTGAGACCAAGGTTCTTTTCAGGTATGGATGCACACTACTCGTCTCAGAAAAAAATGCAGGATACACCACCTATTGCACTTTGTAAGAACTTTCTGTGGGTTCATTACAAGTCAACCCAGAGACTCCTTTGAGTTGTAGTGAACCTCCAGTTAGGAATCTCTAATCAAAGGGATTAATTAATTCCGCAGATATTTGGGAGAGTGAAGTAGGTGGTGAGTAGTGGAACAATCATTAGTCAAATTATGCATGTTTTCTTTTTTGAGATGATCCTAGTATAATGTGTGCTAACGACCATGAACTTGGAGTCACAGGACCTGGGCTTACATCCCTGCTCTGCAATTGCTACTTGTGTAATTTTCTGAGAGATGGTTTTATTATCTATTAAAAAAGGACAGCAGGTGCTGGAAGATTTAACTAAAATAAAGTATGTGAACACATCTGGAACATGGTTTTACTCAATAAACTTTAATCAGTTCACAACATTGATTTCAGGAAGGCACAGACTGTGATCTTCTTCTGGATCACAAAAGTGCACATGGGCTGGATTAATGACTTGTGGAATGCATGTATTAAAGGAGAGCTGATTCATGGATGGATTGACATGTGAATGTCTGTAGTAGCATGCATGGGATCTGTCTTCATTCCTGTTTATTCAACGTCATTGATATCTGTAAAGTCATAACACAATGCTCCCATTTGCTGATAGAAAAGGCACAAGGATTAGGAGTCCCAAAGTTACCAATAAGTTATCATCTGTTTTGACTTTTAGTTTTTGGGGTGTGCGTATGCAGAGACAGATATAAAAAGTCTTATGCATGGATTCCAAAAGTCAGTTGCAAATTATTAGGTATGCGTATATGTCTATGACAGAAGGGGATGGGAAGGAGAGGGAAAGGGAAAGGGAGATTGAGAAAGGAAGAGACAGAGAGAGGAAAAGACAGAAAGTGAGAAGTGGGAGCTTTGTATAGTTAAGGTTTAGAGATTTAAATGGATGATAAAACCAGTAGTGATATGTTTCTTTTAAAATAAAGTTTTGTTTTATTAAAAGAGGTCTAGAGGCTGGGTGCAGTTGCTCATGCCTGTAATCCCAGCACTTTGGGAAACCAAGATGGGCAGATCACAAGGTCAAGAGATCGAGACCATCCTGGCCAACATGGTGAAACTCTGTCTGTACTAAAAATTCAAAAATTAGCTGGGTGTGGTGGTGCACGCCTGTAAACCCAGCTACCTGGGAGGCTGAGGCAGGAGAATTGCTTGAACCTGTGAGGAGGAGGTTGCAGTGAGCTGAGATCGTGTCACCGCACTCCAACCTAGGTGACAGAGTGAGACTTCATCTCAAAAAAAAGGGGCTTTAGAGTATAGAACATGAGACATGATAGTCATTGTACTTTGTATTGTTCAGACCATATTTAGAACTATTTTATCTAGTTCCAGGTGCTATACATTAATTTATTAGCACCTGTATTGTTTATTATTATTTGAGCACCTACTATGTGACAACCACCGTGCTAGATGTTGAAGACCACAGTGCCAAAGAAGACCTGATCT